ACTCTTTCCTTGCATTCCAAACAGTTGCTCCAAAGGCTGCAGGTGGCTCAGTCCTCCCCTCTAAGCTGCCTTTTGCAAAGGGCCTGGGGAACATTTCCTTTGGAAATGCAGTGAATGGGAAGGGTGCAAGGCAGGCGTCTCACAGCCTCCCTTCCTTGTCTCGCCGAGCCCTGGAGCCTGACTCACTCACTGTGTGAGCATGAATTAACCAGGAATGTTCGAGAATTATTCCTGAATAATTCATGAACCTGAATTAATCATGCATTTTCATGAATTATTCATGAATAACTCATGGAAATGCAAGGTTTATTCATGCTCCAAAAAACCCAAAGCTTTTTTTTTTTTTCCTCTTCTCTTCTGCTCTCCCTTTCTCTAAGAAACAGCCCTGAGATGAGCTAAGGAAAAAACAAGAATCCATATGCGTATATGAAAAAATAAGAGGAATCCTAAAGCTGAAACGAAGCAATTGGGGGAAAATCAAGAAAGCCAAGGGGCTTATCTTTTTTTTTTTTTTTTTTCTTCCAGGGGGGCAGCAGGTGGGAGCTTGCCAAGACAAAGGAACCCCGAGCAGGAGCGGTGGCAAAGGGACAGAGCCCAGGCAAGAGGAACGGGCGGTCACCTCCTGCCGTGGTGCGGGCAGCAGGACCGGAATACCCAGGAGACGCTTCGTGAGCCCCAGCAACCGGAGAAGGGCTAAGCAGGCAAGGAAGGAGCTCACGATTTTGCTCTTTCTCTCTCTTTTTCTGACAGTGCATTCGGGCAGTCTGGGTGCCCGCCTTAACTAAGCGAGTGGGGCCAGAGGGGGCATCCTGCAGGGTTGCTGATTTTTCCTTAAGTGTTAGAGGAGGGAAAGCGTCTCAGAGTTACTGGTGGGGGGCTTGGGCTCTTTGCTGCTTGGGCTGTGGAGATGTGTGATGCAGAGCGGGGAACCCGTCCTGCGTTGCGGGGAGGGAGGCGTCTCGGCTGCAACCTCCGGGGCTGCAGGCAGAGCAGCATCCTGCAGCTGTGGGGAGAACAGGACACGCTCAGCGCGACGCTTCCCGGGAAAAACGCACCTCGGAGTGCATGCCAGCCACGGGAAACAACGCGGAGGGAGCAGGGCACGGGTCGGAGACAGCGGGAGGGGGTTTCGGGAGGTGCATGAGCAGAGTTGCACGGCTGTTTCACCATTCCATGCCTCAGTTTCCCCATGCATCAAACGGAGGTAACTTGCCCTTCTCCTTTTCCTAGCACCTTTTTCCTAGCAGCTCTAGCACTGTACAGATTCAATCCCATAGGAATTGCCATAGGCGCAGCGCAGTCAGCTCAGAGGAACCCGTGTGTCTCCACGCAGGGTCTATCCTCACTCCCACTGCGTGTAATTAGCTGTTTGTTAATTTTCCCAGCTGTAGCAGGCAGTGCTTGGAAGTACTTTTATTTTTTCCTTTCAAAACGAATGAAAATAGCGGGTTTAAAACAGCTGTCACCAGGAAGTGGGCAGAAGTTATGCTGGTCATAGAATCATAGAATCCTTAAGGTTGGAAGGGACCTCTAGAGATCGCCTAGTCCAACCCCCCTGCACACACAGGGTCACCTAGAGCACGTCCAAGCGGGTTTTGAAGATCTCCAGAGAAGGAGATTCCACAACCTCTCTTGGTAACCTGTTGTCACTCATGTCTTTTGCTGGCCTGTCCATTGTCATTATCCCTGCTCCAGGTGGAACAGCTCCGATGTCCGCCAAGCTCTACGTCCTCATGCGCTGGCCCGATGGCAGCCGCGTCATCAACATGGAGAACATCAAGGAGCCGCGGAAGCCCTTCCACCTGTACACGGAGGGCGAGCAGGTGCTGGCCCGCTGCCCCGGCTTCAGTGGCCTCTACTGGGGCATCGTGGAGGGCATAAGTGGTGAGGCACCCTGGTCCAGGCTGGGCTCGCCCCTTGGGCGCTTGGGGGGCAAGCTCTAGAAAGCAAGTTCTATGCTGACAAGTCCTCTCTTCTCACAGAGCATAAAGATATTTTAGAGAAAAGGCTCCTGGAAGACAGACAGCTTCTGGAGAAGTGGAGTGAGTAGCGTCTTTGCTTTGGAGCCTTTGATACGGCTCCAAACGGGAGTAGTTTCTGGGAAGAACAGAGTTGAAGGTTGAGCCTTCCTACCTAAACTGGGTTTTCTAAATGCGCGGAAGCTGGGTGCATGGTAATTCTGTCATGGATCTGTATCCCTGTGCTCAGGGTGAGGACCACTGTGTGAGACACTCTTCCTCCTTACGGCAGCTTGACCCTTGACTTTGCTTTCAGAAGAAGAACCTGCCATCCATAGCATGATGCCACCCCCATCCAAAAAATCAAGGAAAACCTTCCCAAAGTGGACCCCAGGAAACACGTCCAGGAAATACCATGGTGACAGGACCTACCTCGAAGCAGGCCAACCTCGTGACACAGGTGGCTCCTCAGTCATCAAGGAGCGACGTGTCCCGGGCAGTGCGGTGGGAAGTCCCTGCTCGCTGGGAGCTTCCCACCATCCCGCCAGCGTCTTCAACCCATCACCCACTTTGGTGAACCTGGTGGTGCCAGGGACTTCCCAGAGTGAGGAGGACAGGCCTGGCATGGCCACCAGAGGTACTGGAGGTCAGGAAAAGTTAGACTGAATGTGAACGTAGATGCTTCTAACTCTCGCCACGTTGCTCCGAGCCATGGAGATTGGGATGGGAGCTCACATAGGAGGGTCTGTTCCACTCCAGGGTTCTGGTGTCTTCTCGCAGGGATGCACAGGTTAGGGATCACATTCTCTGGTCCTTCCCACATGAGAGGTCTTCTCCAGGGAGGCTGCTTAAAGGGAGATGCCTGAGTGTTTGGATACTCTGTACATACCAGACACCAATTCTCTCTCCTATTCTAAAGCTAAAAAAAACCCATCCAGCCTGCCTGAATAACACTGAAACACCCCAAAACCTCGTGCTTTAGCTAGCCAAGCCTCCTCAGATTTGCCTCATTGCTTGCCTGCTTTTCCACCCACTCGTGCGCATGCTAAATGCAATTATAGTAACATACAGTTTTATTATGTCCCTGCTGATTAACACAACCGTGTCCAGAGACAGGTTCATTCTTCCCGCCTTACCTACTATGCTTTTTATGATAGAAAGCCAAGAAGCTCTTGAGATACCACATTTTTCTAATAACAAAATCCCTCTTCAGTCCTGGAAAGCATGCCTGGATCACTCTGCTGTGCGAAGGCAATAATGTGTTTCTACACTATCTAGCAGCAGTGCTGAGATAAGCGGAGACAGAGGGATTTGTGCGATCACCTTCTCAGCAGCTCGCTCTGAGCTTATCTCCTTATTCTTTCCTCTAGATTATGTGGCCCTGGCAGTGAAGAGGAAATCGGATGGTGCCTTGTCTCAGTGCCAGCAGCATGTCCCTCTGAGCAGGTAATACCCTCAAGCACAGCGAGGACCCTGAGTGTCGGGTGCAATGTTGTGCTGTTGAGCCTGGTAACTTTAGTGCCACGGTGCTAACCCTGAAAAAGAGGTTTCTGTAGACACAAAGCTGAAGTGCAGAACATAACAGGGGTGACTGGGTACACCTATGCTGCCAAGCAAGCAGATTCCCCACTGTTCTGCAGTCCTGCTCCCTTGGTTGGGTGAATGAGAGAGTTGTGGAGTACAGTGAAGTCCTCCCATACCTCCGCGCACCCCATGGGTGCATAGGAGGTTGCCCACATGTAGAACCATTGTCATCTCCTCTCCATCATCTCCTCTCCGTCATCTCCTTTCCATCCCCTTTCTTGCTGTAAGTGAAACCAGAGTTGACTCTGCTGTCAGCCTTTGAATTCCAGACCAATCCCAGCAGGGATGAATATGAGCATGAAGCTACTTGTTGCAGCACCTTTTAGCTTGTTTGTTTGTTCCAGTTGTGAAGAACGAAAGCTAGAAGCTTTGCAGGAGGCAGATAACTTTGAGAGAGTTCAGAAGAAATTTGTTCCTGGTGAAATGGAGAGGTAATCAGCAAAAAGAAGGCACTTGTTCTTAACAGTATTCTCCTCCTTACTACAGGGAAAAAAAAAACATTGATACTACAGTGGCAAAATGTTGTAACTTTAAAATTAAGAGCTGCTGAATCTCCACAGAATCAGAGACGGATATTTCTTTCCAGTTGCAGGGCTTGGAGCCTGCAAGCAGGCTTTAAAATACTGTAGAAATCACAAGGCTCATGAGAAATGGGTGCCAAAAATGCACTGTCATTTGCTGCATGCCCCATTTTTGTACCGCAAATACCTGCTTCCTGCGACCTGAAAGACAATGCTTAGGTCTTTCCTTAAAAGAGGGGAAAAAAAGCCCCAAAACCTAACAAACTCTCCCAGGCATCCAAGATTGTGTGTGTGTATCGCAAAGGGAGGCTTGAGGGTTGGCCTCTGAGTGTCTAAAAATGTCAGACCCTGTCATTCTTCTCTCTTGCCTTGCTCCTCACCCAGGCATGGCCCAACAAGGGTTGTCCTTGCTGGCAGGGGGCACGAAACACATCTCCATGGATGTGCTGCATCCTTAATAGCACTCGTTAAGAGGCTGGGGGGTGCTCCTGCCTCAATGCATGTTGTAGCCTGGGCTTAATTTTTCAGGGCAGAGAAGATTGAGCAGCTGGAGAGGATTGTCTTGGACCTCCAACAGGATGTCCTTGCTCTGAGGAAGAAGGTGCAGAGGCTGGAATCCCTGTCCTTCCAGGAGGAACCTCACCAACAGCTGTGCGAGGTGGTGGAGCTCTTCAACGGCTACACGAAGGAGCAGCTCAAAGAGGCAATTCGCTTTGACCAGAAAATCAGCACAGCCTGCAAGACACTGCTCTACAAGCTCTTCACATCTGACTATATCCAGAGCCACTCCATCACTGGGCGGAGGGGCAATACTTTCCGAGAGGCAAAGCCCATGATGGATGAACGATGCATCAAAATCATTCGGGTACTGTTGAAACAGAAGTTCGGAGATCACCTCAGTGACACAGTGATCACAGAGAAGATACAAAATGTTCAGAAGGCCCTGAGGCAGAAATTTAAGACAGAATGTCTCTGATGCATAGAGGATTTTTTGTCTCTGCTCCTACCATGCTCATCAGTGGACCTGAACAGTCCCTGTGCTTTTAATTCCAAACTTTCTATTTTGCCAGAACTTGGAGCATCTGCTGGCACTTGACAAGTCATGTCTGCTCTGGTCTGCAGGCTGATCTCCATATCGACTCTCTGGGGTCCACGGGATTAGCTTGGGCCTTTTTGGTGAACATGGTGAATTGGCTTGAGGGTTGGATCCACATGTGGGTTGGCAAGCCAGCCTCATTCCGTCTTTGCTTTGGAAACATGATCCTGCAGAACTCTTGGAAACCTGACAGTAAAATTGGGATGTAGTCAGGGCTGATCCTCTAGGAAACTTGATGTTCTCTCTTTTCTTCCCTCTTGCATCCTGCAGAGAGGCTGTATGTCATCTCATACTCAAAAGATGTCCACTCTACCCTTTTCTCTAATGTGCATTTTCTCTCCTTTCTGATGATACTGGTTAAGTAGGAGTACAGGTGTGGTGAAGGAGAACCATCAGGGATAGGGTTATCCCCAGACACTTTCCAGGCATCCTCTTCCATGTGAAAACTGAGACATGGATGTTCTTGCAACAGGTCAGGGAGAAAGGTTGGCTTTGGGTGAGTAGTGTAACCCCCAAGAAAGTGTTGGCCTCCAGCTGCAGATGGACATTGTGTCACTCCACACCACTGGTCCCCAGACAGCCAGGGCTGCCTGTGGGACAATATTAGCTCTCTTTGCTCCCTGTGAATATGTTTTACAATTTGCTGCAGTAACAGAAAGGCAGACTCAATAAAACAACTCACTAAAACCTTCAGAGAAGGAAAGGCTGATTATTTCATTTTTCCCCTCCTTTGTTTTATGTTCAGTGTTCCTAATGTAGCTGCATGACAGAGGTGCCCTCACTGGTGGAAAATCTACTGATCAAGAGAACAAGTCTCCCATGCTAATTGCAATATATATCTTTTTTTCTTTCAATGCCAAATTATTTTTATGCAGAAATCCTGACATTAATGATGTAAGAGTAAGGGAGAGCTGAATTTGTCCCACTCCTGATTCACCTCTCCTTTGAAGATCAGAAATATGAATGTAGACACTGTAATTTAAATATAGTTTTTATATCTCATCTAAGAAATTCCCAGAACAAACAGCAGTTCTGGTATATAAGAGGCTATGAAGAAGGATGGGAGAGAATCATGTTTCCCTAAATTTTAACATTAAAAGAATAATATGCTGGCACCAATCCACCTAACAGAAATGCAAGCCTTTTAAAGAGGCTTCTTGCATAAGAAATTGTTTTTGTTAAGTTTACTTTTGAAATTATTCAGAAAAGGAAACATCATCTGTTTTGAGTTAATCAAAACATTTAGCTTAATTTATATGTTTCACTCTGCTTTCAAGTGTTTAATTTTTCACAGCTACATGAGAAGTAGTAAAGCAAAGTAAATATATTCAAAAACAAAGAGCTCTTTTGAAAGAAAGAAATGGAAATGTTTCATTTTCAGAGTCTCTCTCCTTTTTTTTTTTTGATTTTTTACTTGCAAAACAGAGCTGCCGGAGCAGGGCTGATGCTCTGAAGCATTTGGAGTTTGGGGTAGGATCCGCTTGCTGAGGTCTTTGGCACTGCTTTGATCAGAAATGTTTAACAGTTACGCTAAATAGTTGTAGCCAATATCTAAAGTGGTTCCTTCTGTTTCCCCAGTGCGAATGCCTTTGCCTAAGTCTCTCTGCTGCAAACACAACATTAGCATTATTATTATTTTTTTAATTTGCAAGAGCCTTGACTTGAACAGCAGCTGAACCAGGTCTGACCACAATCACCCATCTTGGAGGTGAGAGAGCAGCCAGACCTTGCACTTGGATCTGCACGGAGCTAAACCAACTTCAACCCTCCTGAAAACAGAAATTAATTAAAATTTTAAAAACATAAATAATAATAAAAGGAAAACAAATTAGAGCTGCCTTTCCAGGGATGTGGTGGCCTTGTGCTGCAGGTAGACCCTCTGCTCATCATTGCTGCGTGGGGAATTGCCTTTAATGCTGAATTATTGTTAACATTATTGTCTAATAGTCCAGTTCTGTGGGCACAGGCTTCAGCAGCATCCCTTGGTGCTTCTACAGACCAGCCTGGGAGACTCTGCTTTCAATTCACTGGTAAAGCAGTGTGTCCTGCATCCCTGCCCCTTGCCAAGCATCACCTGGGACAGCCAGCTCCTCAAAGGTATTTATAAAAACCCATGCCAATGCTGTCTTCCTCTTTTTAATGATTCTGTTTGGCTCCTGGGTGCTCAGAGCATCAGGAGAAAATATGTGGCGGTTGCTAGGGTCAAAACTCAGGCTGGATGTCAAGGGAGTTTTGCAGTTGGTTCAAAAACAGTCAGAAAGAGGATTGCTGAGCGTTGCAAGTGCACAGGAGGTCTGAAACAGCCCATTTCGTCCCCAAGAGAGGAACCAGCACGGTGAAGAGCTATCCAACACACGTGTGGCCACCACAACGGACCTCCCAGGCTCCAAAGCTCCCAGCTCCTGGAAGCAGCTGGCACAGGGGCAGGAGCTGAGGGAGATGCCAGTGACAGGAATGCTGCCTTCATGCAGGAAAAATGAAACAGCCAAAAGGACGGGGAAATTCCCTCGTGTTTAATCCTGTTTATTTCAATTTTATCTCCTCGGCTCTGCTAGGGGGACTGTGGAGTCCAGCGCAGACAGATTTTAATTTGCCTGTTTCTTGGCTCATAAGAAGCACATGCTGCTATGTCTCCTAATATCTGCACTGTGGGAATCCCCTAGAAACTGTAACACATTAGTTTAATGAAATCATAGGAAATGTGAGTATCGGTTAAAGAAATAATGTTGAAATGTAACTAAATCCCTTCTTGACTTTTAATCAAGACTTACAAAACGTGCCAGGCTTTGCACAAATCTCAGGAAGCCACTGATGGAGCTGTCAGATGCTCTGAGTTTGCATTATGTAGGGAAAAAATCTTCTGGTTTTGAAGCGGTGACACAGTGGCTCATGGAAGTTGTTCATGGTCACATCTTAATCCGGTTCCTGGTCCTCCATCTGTGGTTGGAGGAACGATCACGCTGTCTGCAACGAGCTCAGCTGCAGGGCCAAATAGAAGGCCAAGTGCTGGTCTTTGGGTCTTGAAATCCCGTGTCATCTTCTCAGGGCTTTCGACACACCAATGACAGAAGAACACTCAGTGTCACCAGAGGTTTTTGTGTCCTGATACAACGTAAGCCTGTTTCTCCTTTAAACACTATGAAAGACAGAAAACCCTCATTGCCTTGTAGCCCCAGGGCTCTACATGTCTATTGGATTTGCACTTCTGAAATATTTTTTGTCAGAAGTAACTTTATCACTTTCAAAAATTATTTTCACACATTTTTTTCCTGAAAATACAGCCTTTTCAGGGTGTATCCAGGTATCTGATAGGTGCACAATATACCGTATTTTATAACTTTAAGTGATCTTTCATATCTTTACTTCAATCCCATATTCTCTACACATTTTGTTACCAGAATTTCTCTGTGAGCGGTACATGATTATGCTGTCCAGGCTCACACCTCGCCATCTCCTCCACCCAGTCAGAGGCAAATGGGACTGAGAGGATGGTTATTAAAACACAGAAAGCAGAGAAATAAAATGAACCATAGCACCAGCTCTCTGTGTGCGGAATACACGGAGGAAATAAAAGGACCTTGCACTTCTAATAAGATTTGGATATGAATTGCCTCATAAGAACTTAAACAAATTATATTCAGAGGCTAAAAAGAGAGAGCTCAGGGACCTCCTGCTGTACTGTGATGGCTCTCATTGCCTTGATGTGTAGCACATTGGAATGGGCCATAAAAACTTCAAAATCAGGTGTCATATTTTACTTAGGAAGTGAACTTCAGGGCTCAAAGATGAGTTGTACAACTGACGACAGCTAAAGTCCTTCCCAGTGAAATACTACCCCCATGGGAATCTCCAGAGATTTCCTGTCACACAGGCAGGCTCCACCACCAACCTGGGTCCTGTGTTGGTGGATGAAGGACCCAGAGACGAGTGCAGCAACTCGAATGTCCTGCAGCTACTCAGATCAGGGCTACTCTCAGGGATGTGTCCACATGGAGATACAGGACAGAGTTTCTCATATGCTTTTCCTTGGATAGATTTAGTCTAGAGTGCAACATGCACCTATTTATCCTCCTCATAATGTCCCCGGTGTCCCTTTGTCAGCAGGTGCATCCGCTGGCCTCATGTATATTCCCAGCTCTGGCATCTGCTGCCCATTTTGGGCAGTTTGGAGACATGTTTTCTTTTCATTGGGTGTTTTACTAGGTGTTTTTGTGCTTGGAGGAGTTAATGGGAGTGACGAGGATGCACCAAGCTTCATCACGGGGAAATGAGCACTGCACGAAGCCAATGCCTGCTGCACTGTGCTTGGTGACACACGGTGTGGCCGGCAGCATCAGACAGCGAGGGAAGAGGCGATTGCAGAACTGCTCTGCTACTGCTAATGAAAAATCACTGGAGTAAGCTCCTCTGATCCAAAGAAGATAGAAGTATATTATTATTACCATTAGTTCTAGCAGGACCATGGTGCAGAACGTGAAGACAGATGAGTTCACGACTTACATATTACAGGCTAGATTTTATCCCAGTAATATGAGAAAATCAATCATTTCTTAAGTGAAAAGACTAATAAAATCTCTAACTTCAGCAGAGCAACAGGAGTGCTACTATACTTCCAACATGCTCACTGGCACAGCACTGGCAAATATCTTCCATACGACTTAGATGCAGGTGCATAGGACAGGAGGAAAGAGTTTGGTCCAATCCAGCAGTCATGTGCAAGGCCTGGTTTTCATTGCTGCAGTAAGTGTGAGTTTTGCTCACTAAACCCAATCAGAACTAGGAAAAATGAACTTACCAGAACGCAGCGGGATTCAATTTTCATTCCCTAGATTTCAATTTGAAAACAATAATGTGCAGGAAAAATACAAATAGAATTTCTCCTGCTGATAGAAATCAGGGAGGATGATGAGAGCTCTTGTGTTTTTGCTCATTT